CACTGGGTCTTAGTCACATGTAAGGGACGTCAGCATTTTTTTTTACTTTGAAACAGAGAATAAATCATATTAGTTTGTTTGGTCCTCGTTGAGTAAGGATCAGTTTACCAAACATTTTACTGTTCAAAACACTCTAAATGTATTCAAGTTTATTGAAGAGAAACAATAAAGAAATGGTTCTCGTCTATTTTGCAAAATACGTAAAACCACAGCGATGTACCAATACCTAGCCTAGAAATTTAGACCAACCTGCAGAGCAACAGAAGGTCTACAGGTTGGTCTAGCCACGCTCCATTGTATCCTCAGCAGTCACATGCTCTATGTTTGTAGACATTGTTTAGGCTCAGCACCATTACTACAGCACATTTTTTCATGACGGCAGAGCTCTACAACAACAATGGCAGAAACTCAGGAATGGTGTTTGCTTAAAATGGCTTTGGGAAATTTAAATTTGGGCTTTTCTTTGAAACTTAAGCAGATGGAACTTCTTTCTTTGTTCTTCTTCCTTCTTCTTTGCTGGCAGACTGCCTCATTCACTGATTTCTATCAATATGAAAATGTCACATTGTCTGTTGCTCTGATTGGTCCTAGTGCTGTTCAACTGTGTGTGGAGAAAGTTTCAAAGACAACTGTAGATTCTGTCTCTGACTGAGCTCTGTCTGTGGGTCATGGCTAGACCATATACTGTATTTGGCCTAATGGTATGTGTGTCCACTCTGAGACTGGGAGATTCTGGGTTCAAATCCACATTCAGGTCATACCAAAGACTCTTACAAATTGGACTCAATGTCTCTCCGCTTGAGCATTAGAGGTTCAGTTGGGGGGTTAAACCACCAAATAGTTCCTGAGCACGGCTGTGTGTGCAGCTCACCACTCCCTCAGGTATTGGATCAAATGTGGAGTGCAAATTTCACCAGTGTGTAAAAACTAAATGGCCTTCTTAGGGTTCTACAACCCCCCAAGGCGCTTCATGACAATATCAGTCATTCACACATTCACACACTGGTGGGGATGAGCTACCATGTAGCCACAGCTGCCCTGGGGTGCACGGACAGAGGCGAGGCCTGCAGAACATTGGCGCCACCGGCCCTTCCAACCACCTCCAGCAGGCAAAGATGGGTTTAGTGACTTGCCCAAGGACATGTGCAGCATTCCCTGGTTGGAGCCGGGCTTGAACCTGCAACCTTCAAATTACTAGACAACCTGCTCTACCTTCTGAGCTACTGCTGTCCCTAAAACTAATGGGAAGTTAATCTTTATTTACATATAAAGATTAGCTTGCCAGGCCAATACCAGCATCCGGTCTCTGATAATGCATATTCTTGTATGCTTATTAAGAGTTCCAGTATAAGTACCTTTTACACGGTTTGAACACATCGGTCTTCCTATTATACTTAAGCCCACAACACCTGGATGATAGTGGCTCAGGTGTTAGGTGTTAGTCCTGTAACTGATGGGGTTGCCAGATAGAACCCAGGCTCCCTCCTTCCATTTGAGTCCTTGGGCAAGACATGTTACCCTCCTTGCCTGCTGGCGGTGGTCGAAGAGACTGGGGGCACCTGTGTACATCAGCCTTGCTTATGTCAGTGTGCCTCAGGTCAAGACTCTGCTGTCCACATACACCTGAAGGACAAGGAACATACTTTTACAGATGACAAAGTACACATTCTGGACAGAGAAGATGGATGGTTTGAGAGAGGTCTATGTCAAACGTGAAAAACCTATTTTAAAAAGAGGAGGGGGGCTTGGAGTTCACCTTTCTAGTACCTATAATGCAGCTTTGAATCTCATTCCTAAGCAGTTTCAGTCTAGGTCACACCTTCCTGCATCTACTCAGCATGACTTCCTCTCATTACAGGCTAACGACTCATCGGAGTAGAGAGAGAGGGGTACTCACAGTAGTTTCTGCTCATTAAATAACAATAGACAGCGAAAGTTTATTAGCTTGACTCACCCATATTCCTTTCAGAATTGACAAAGCTCCTCGAATGACAACCGAAACGTCTTCAAGAAACCAAGAAGTCCAGTTGCCTTCATTTGAACCCTTTTGGATTACCATGACCTGGATGACTGAGAACCTTCAGCAGCATCTATACAAATACTGGTCATTTTTGTTATTGGAGAAAGAGGACCAGGATCTAGTTTATATGTTAGGAATCCACTAGTAGAAGTAATACTGATGATAGGAGGGTGTTGGTTTGTGCTTGACGCATCCGCGAGGTCCGCACGGCTCCGCGTGGTGAAATTGCGTCATTTTAACAACCACGCCCCTCCACCGCGTCTCCGCACGGCCCAAACTTTCCGCAACGCGCACCTAGGAAATATTCTAACCACGCGGATGGTCGGACGCGGAAAAACACGGCGGACTGGCAAGAACTAGTATGGCAGAGGTTCGTAAATACAGACATTTGTATGATTCAGCTCTCAGAGATCACCGTGATCAACATGTTGTTAATAATTCTTGGAGAGAAATAGCTCGCACTGTCGGAAAAGACGAGGACGCTGTTAAAAATGCTGGAATGCCATGTTGTAAACAGTAATTTCTACTTCTACTATGGTGTAGTGTTAGCCTGGCAAGACATAATAAATGTATTATTTAGTCTGGCCACACTCAATTGACGGCTCTCGGTTGTGGGGCGGGATCTACCGTTGTCTTTCAAATGATCTCCGCATTCCACTGGACAATGAATGTGACATACTCTTGTTTCACTCTGTTGCATCATCCCACCCACCAGGCATATAGAGTGCCCTGATTGGCCCACAAAGCGGATAAAGCTCTGTGATTTGTTCACTAAGCAGATAGAGCACTATGATTGGCCCACCATTTTGGACCAATAACAGCTCTTTATGTGTTTGAAACCCCTCTAGAGAGCTGTGATTGGCTAGCCAGAGTCCTGGTAGGAGCTGCTGAGGTTCCAATGGAGCATGCCTAGACCATTCTTTGCAAAGCAAGAATTTGGTCTAGTTCACTAGGCTAGTGTAGTGTTGGA